TACATATAATGATGCTATTTATATCAAATTGATCATGCGTGTAAACTGGCGTGAATTCTCTAATTATTATTTTCAGAATATATTATTATTACTAAAGAACACATCACGTCGAGAAATGGAATCAGATATGAAAAGGATCAATAACAACTGGAAAGGATTGCCCAGGGCAATGTTGGATGGTGAATGCTGGTGACCGGCCTATGCTCCCCATCACGAGGAGTAACAAGCGTAAGTAAGTAATAGTATGAACTTGAGCAATAATGGTTAAGAATGAAATTTCTCTAGTTGAAGGGATCCAACATATTTGTAGGATAGAAATTGACAGTTAAATAATCGTTCTTTGACAGATCCCGATAGAACTTCTAAAACACGAAGCACTTTCCTTTTAACACATCACATTCAGACTCAATTATCTTCGGAGTGTAGTCATATAATCATCAAACACATATTCTTACATCACTTGAACTAATACCAAACCTCAAGTAATTCTATTACAAAAGTATTCGTATTACCGAAAATAGAACTTGATACACTATACACTATGTTCAAAATCACATTTATCAGTGAATAATTAAAAGGATTATTTCTATCAAACCAATTAATCTAATAATCAGAAGCAAAAAAATGTAAAGTAAGACAATCATAATAATACTACACATTAAATTTAGATCTATTTAACACAGCTTATAGCCAACAAAAAAGATCCAAATAACGTTTGCCGTACAGAATAACTTTAATTTCATTACTTGACTTATTCAACAAAACACATTTTATAAAAATCATCGGTAAGAGGGAGATAAATGCAACATATTTAGTGTTTCAAACATTCAAAATTTTTCACTATTCCGTTTTCAGTTTAAGCTCCGTTCTACTCAGTTCAATTTTTGCCAATCTGACAACGATAGAACCCAACAAATATATGCATCGAATCAAGTTGCTACACCACATATATTAGCACAGAGAGAATGGCAATCAGACAGAACACACAATATCACCTCATATAGAATGTATAAAACTCAAACTGGAGTCCACAAATCTGTATTCGGTTTCTCTAAGCTATATTAAATAATTCTTTTTTATTTTCGAAGTAAACATCATGATTACTTACCAAGCGATGGGGTTAATGGAATTAGGGAAAATAAATACGAGATTATGGCTAACACCTAAAATTCAGTATGACAAAAAAAGAAATGCAATATAAGGAGACACTAAGAAAATTATTTAATTAAATCTTGTTCATCATATGACAAAAAATATCTAACAATGTAGTAAACATTATATCCTAAACTATCGTGATCGTGTGATGTCATGAGTATTAAATCGAAAGAAAATTAAGTGAATGTAGTATCACTCGAAAGTATTGATCATATAAGTAATTCCTATTTCTCAAAACAAAATTTCTTTTACCTTATTCGTAATTTCCCTTATTTCATGTATTATTTTCCAATGAGATGTTATCAATCAGCTAATGTAAACCTAAGGGGCGGCCAAACAAAAATGTAGCATTAGTACAATGATATCATTGATTACTCGACTGATCAATGTTGTTAGGTGCAGTCTACCTGGTTAGGGTCCGAGAGATAATTGTGACCAATTACTGGAGACATTGGATGATATTGTTCAGAATAGTGTAAATATATTCACTTGTTATTTTCTCTTAAATTCTACGATAAAAAGCTATCTCATATTCTTTATTCCTCAAATTATTTCTTTCTCAAACCATATTGTCTATAACTAATCTTTCCTACCATAATTGTAGTATCAAAACTTCTACTACTCTGACATGTCTTAACAAATTCGTATCACTGCTGATCTGGTGTGGGGACTCAAATCGATGTATACATGTATCAGGTTCTATGTAGCCTATGACTGACTGATAAACGTATACTCCTATTGAGCAATTTTATATATAAGTGCAAGATTGTGGATTGATTGGATTTATAGATTAACACCATTGGATGGTGGCTTACTAATCTAAAGATTAAGCATTCGTGAGCGAGACAGAAGGTACTGAGTTCGATGCCCAAGTGCGGAGTTGTGAATAAGCACCTTTGAGGAGTCCCATACTAGGTTGAAACGATCACCCAGCGCTTCCAGATTTCAAATGTGAAAATACAAAAATCTCCAAAATCCTTTATACTACTTATTAATTATTAGGTCTAAAAGTATGTAATACACATATATATACACAAGCAGCTTACCAATATCAGTCCTACATTTATCAACCACATTCTTGCTAATGGTTCCAATAAACCCTGTGAATCTGATGGTGAACGTTTAGTTTGAGATGTTGATGTCGTTGACAATGGCGACGGTGATGATGATAAAGAAGATGAAGATAAAGCCGGAAGTGAAATAGGTGAATCAACATTGGACTTGGCTAACTTCTCAACATCTGAACCAAGCAGTTCAATTTGTGATGCAATACATGTTAATCTATCTGAACTTGGAATTCGAATTTGTAAACGTTTTTGTCGTTCAAGTTGATGCTCATGAATTTTGGTATTTTTTACATTACTAGATGTGAGCTGTGTTAAATGATAATGCATTCTCCATAAACGACTAGGTGTTGTAAGAAATTCTTGAAATCCTAGGATAAAACATTTAAGCGAACCCATCTACACAATAGGTATAAATGCTATAACCTGAAAAATAAAAAACCAATCAAATTGTAAGAGGATTAATTGACACAATATAAATACAAGAAAAATTGATTCAGTCGATACCTCCGCCAATAATATATCTGAGAACATGATTAAATTCATAGTATTTCATGTTAAATATAGAATACTAATGAATATAACAATATTCCAACTGAGTATTATCGCAACGCACTATGCTCACATTCAGACCTAAATTATCTGATTTCGATATAACGTAAAGCTATCGTCGTAATGCACCAGTGAAGAATGAGAGACGGAAACAAGTACACTGTCCAATCCTATTTGATTTTTAATGGTTGCTTTTAGATTGTTATCATTTTATTATGGTGCATACGCTCAAAAACTATTGCTTCACTATACTGTTAATTTAATTAAAGCTAAGCTAATTGATGCTTTTATAATTCTGGTAGTTATTTTATCCATTAAAAGCTATGTTATGAATGATGTAAATACTGACATTAAAAACTACAATTACAAAGACTTAAAAATACAAAAAGAGCGAAATGACAAGATTTTTTGCTTTCCATTTCTTTGGTGTAAACATGGAATACCAACAAGATTAATTCATCTAACTGACTATTGATCCGTTTTATTTTTAAGCTTTAACTAGTACGATTCAATTTGTAACTGTCTAATTTGGAACTATGATGTACTGTATTATTGGTATTATTTTTAGTTTAAATCACAGATCATCACTGAATATCAGACACATATGTCAGTAATATGTCAATATTTGAAGGTCAACTTTGTTAATATATTGGGAACGTGTACTAGGCCGTTGGAATGATCGTTGAATGGGTTGTTCTAGTACTTCTTGAATGAAACATATGTTTAGTACTCTCTCGTTTCTAATTTATATCTGGCTATAGTCAGTTCGTGACGCAAAATGAAAACAAGATTATCCCCTCAACTCCCCTGAACTAACATTATTTATTAACTTAGCTTCTAAGTTGTCATATATTTACTAGGCTGTGTATTGCCACTAAATTCTAAAATGTCACACCAAACGAGAAACATGCTTCTTACAGTGACTCTCCTCACATTTTTTTCATCTAGAAGTCCAATTATTGGTTATAATCAGTCAATTTTGAGATATACAGTTCTGAATACAATAAAAATTTGGAGTTACATAATTAATTTATGAACATTGAAACCACCAAATTAATGGAGTCCGTTGCTTTGCCTTAAATTTTATGCCGATTAGGAATAAAATGATATTGTAGAACAATGAAACGCTGAAAACAAGGAATCGATAAACGTTTGTTTCAGTCTATCTCGGAAATCTTCAGTAATTGATATTCTCGAGTCTATAACAAAATTAATCCAGAAACGTTATATCTTGCAGAAAGCAGGGTAATATAATCCACAGTCCAAATTTAGTAGTTTATAAGAATAAAAAGGATCAAGTCATTCCACCAGTACACGTTGACTTAATAAAGAAGCTTATGAAAATTGGATTCATATGATCGTAATTTTTACCACGGATTGATATATTTGACTGAAAACTCGATCACTGAAGTATATAAGTGTGAAATTATAGAATTACGATTATTTTGAGAATAAATATGAGGTTTGAAAGATAGTACTGTATTAGAGACCTTTTACTTTCTTGACATGAAATTGAGAATACTCTCATCCGTAACGACACAAATCTAATATGAAAGATAGACCAATCAGAATGCTTAGAATTAGTTCTGCTTCAATAATGCACTGATCAAGGTTCTATCCTGCTAACACTTAAACATTGATACAACAATGAACCTTATTTTATTTTATTTTAACACATAAGTATAGGTACAGGGAGGCACCTAGTACATATGTGCCACACAAATCAATTCTGATTTGTGTGAGGGCTGTGATACTGTCCGGGTGCCCAAACCGAAGCAGGTGGTTTTCTTAGGGGACTACACCCCGAGCCTTCAACCTGAACGTCTGATCCACAAGGCAGTGGAGCATCGTAAGGAGATGCAGTCCCATGGAAGCCGGTGACCAAGAAATTGGTTCATACACCATTTGTTCCTTCAGGATACTGGAGCCCATGTGCACCATTGGTTTGGGGTCCGGTTAAAGCGCCGGACATTCGCTTTTCGTCCTCTCATTTTTGTAGACAACACCCTCGCCACGAGAAGGCAGTGAGTAGGACTTCCCTGGTAGAGGCTATATACGCATGGCCATGTGAGAGCATTTCGAGAGGGAGAGCGGACTCTCCCCACTCTCAGCCGTACCAGGGCATTTGGGGGCCAATGAACCTAGTTTTCGAAGTTAATTGAGTAAGATACATTCACCAGATACTGAAAACCATAGTCTAACACACAATATATCAAAACCGAAAGTGTTCGCAATATAGTTTACTTTGTACAATTTTCATATGAAACAAAGTTAAATGCGTAACTAAGACTACATTGAATATATATCTATCATTCTCTTTTCAATAAAGACAACATCATTATGCCCAAGATTCAATCTGTATGCGATTTTCTGTTTCCATTTGATCTAATAATATCTCAGCACCACTGGAATCCGTATGATTTGCATTGACAATGGCATACACTAACGCTTCACGTACTTCATCAGGCATTGTTTTTTGATTGCCCACAATAAATACATGACTTTGTGGAGATTTAAGTATAGACCAAACTATTTCTGGATAATTTTTCAATTGATCTTGTACATACTGACGTCGTGATGGCGACACGGTAGATGTATTTTCGCGGGAAAATGCTGGTATGATCCTAACCCAACCCTTTTGTTCTAACATTTTAAAATCTGAAGCGAAGTAATAATCTTTTGTGGAGTAACGGCAACCGAAAAAGAGAACGTTTGTTGGAAGCACATCATGATTCAAATGAGACATAAGAGAATTATATTGATGTAACAAAAAGCTGTGGAATGGTGCAATACCAGTGCCGGTAGCAATCAATAGACAAGGAGGAGGTGAAAGTGTCAAAAGTTTATCGAAGTTAAAACCACCAGATATAGTACCTAACCATCCACTAAAACAATCTCCAGGGTTAAGAGAAGCTAAGTAATTTGAAGCTGTTCCAATGCGTGGTGTTGATAAACGTGTACGGTAATTCACCACAGCAACAAGTAACTCAATTTTCGGTGGAGGAGACGCCACTGAATAGGGTCGTGCAAGAATCGGCCCAGGAAGTATGTCAAATATATACTGTGATGTTAAGAGACTTGATGTAACCGGGAAATCTGCAAGTACTTCAACTACACGTCGACAAGGACGGAAAACATAATCATACAAATCATCTATATCATCGGAATTTTCAGCTGAAGCTAGATCAGTTAACCGATCAACTTCTAATTTTAAACGATCTTTGTCTATGTGTTGTGCTCCATCCAGGCTTTTTGAAAGTTTCAAACAATTGACAGCAAAAGCACAGTAATTAACAAAGAAACATTGTTGTGGAGTTGCATTCAAATCAAAATAATATGTAGTAAGCCAAGCAATAGATACATCACAGTCATTTTCTTCCAATGCACTAAGTAGATGAGGTACAGGAAAATTCGGATGGCATTGAGTAATTTTTACACGTTCAGTTGGATTCAATCGAGTTATTTGAAAAAAAGATAAAACATCTTCTTTACGATTTGTAGGCTGGACATAAAGCACAGAACCAAGTCGAAATTCATCCGATTTTAGATCGATATCAGACTATACTAGGTATATTAAAAGAGATAGTGAAAAATAACACCATAACTTACAATCATTTTAATATGTAAGAAAATCAATAAATGTTATTAACAACTGAACATAGTTGTATAAAACATAAACATGAATATATATATATATATGTATATATATATATACGAATAAGAATATGAGATTGAACGGGAAAATCTGCACAGTTGCTTGAAGTCTCAGAGGACTAATAACTAAGTCACATATAAAACTCAAATTTCCTCGATCAAACAAGAACACAGTAGGCTTGAACACCTTTTACTTACTTCCTTACGCTTGTTACCCCTCATGAAGAGTATAGACCACCCACCAGCATTCTTTAATCAACAATGTCCCGGACAACCCTTTCCAATTGCTATTCATCTTTTTGACGTCTGCTTTCAATTCCTGACGTGGTGTGTTCATTGGTCTTACAATTTTTCCGTTCCTCTTCAGAATTCCAAGTTAAGACTTGCCTCGTGATGCAGTTTGATGACACTCACAATGTATGTCCTATCCACCTTAAGCATCCTTTCCTAATTTCATATTTGGCTGGAAGTTGGTTTGTTCTCTGTCACTGTAGGTTGTTACTGATGGTATTCGACCAACGGATATTGAGTATCTTACGTAGACAATTGTTTAAAAACATTTGTACTTTTTGATGATTATTGTAGTAGGTCTCGAAGTTTCAGCTCTATACAGTAGACTGTCTTCAAATTTGTATTGAGGATTCTGACTTTGATATTGGTTGGCAGTTGTTTTGGGTTCCATTTGTTCTTCAACTGTAGGATTGTGGTCTTTGTTTTGCCAATCCTTACCTTCACCTCTACATCAAATTCTCTCTGTTCATGGATGATGATGTTAATGTATGTATAGACTTCCATCTGTTCCAGAGTTTCTCCAACAAGTGTGATTGAACTGGTGTTCTCTGTGTTGTATTTGAGGATCTTACTTTTTCCCTTGTGAATGTTGAGGCATACTGGTGCAGAGGCTAGTGCTACACTAGCTGTATTCACCTGCATTTGTTGTTGTGTATGAGTTGGTAGAGCTAGGTCATCTGAGAAGTCCAAATCGTCCAGTTGCATCTAAACTGTTCATTGTATTCCGTGCTTCCCCTGAGATGTGGAGGTCTTCATAATCCATTCAACCATCAGGAAGGGAGAGAGTAATCAGTCTTATTTAATACCATTCCTCGCTTGTGATGCGTCTGTCAGTTGTCCTCTATGTACCACTTTGCACTGTAGTCCACCGTATGAATTACGGAAGTTTTTGACGATTTTCTGAGCTACTCTCACTCCATAGTATCGAGGAAGGTTCCAGAAGGTTATCCTACCCACACTCTCAGACGCCTTCTAATGATAGTCAAGATCTATGTACAGTGACGAGTTCCATTCAATTGATTGTTTAATGATGATCCGTAATACCGCTATTTAGTCTGTGTACGACTGAACCTTACGAAATCCAGCCTGTTGATCTCGAAGTTGGGCGTCTATTCAGTCATTGATCAGGTTAAGCAGCACTCTGCTGAGAACCTTTCCTGGTACCGATAGTAGTGTGATGCCTCTGCAGTTCTCACATTTGCAAAGATCTCCTTTCTTCGGTATCTTGATGAGGTGCTCCCTCTTTCCAGTCTGTCAGTGGTACTTGTTTTTCCTCCCAAATCTTCCTGAATAGGACGTGGAGCATGTTTGCAGTTGCTTCTACACCTGACTTCAGTGCTCCGGTTGCTATATTGTCAGACCGAGCTTCTTTCCCACTCTTGATTTGTCTGGTGACCATCCTAATTTCTTCGATCATTGGTGGGGTGACAGCTATAAGATGTGTGTGTGCCGCCTCGATGTCCGGTGGATTCAATGAAGCTGGTTTGTTCAATAGTTCCTCTAAGTATTCCACCCATCTGCTCCTCTTTCCTTGAATTTCAGCGATTGGTTCATCTTCTTTGTCCTTGATCGACTTCTATGCTTTACTATATTCCCCTATCGGTTTCTTCGTTGTGTCATATAGTTGTTTGATATTTCCTTTTGTTACAGCTTTTTCCGCTGTCCTTGCTAGGTCTTCCACGTATTTCCGTTTGTCAACTCTAATACTCTTCTTTACTATTTTGTTTGCTTCTATGTATCCAGCTTGTGCCTTGACTTTCTCTGCTCTTGTTCGGCTGTTGTGATTTGCTGTCTTTTTGTTCTTCCATTCTTGAATCTTGTCCAGGGTTACCATAGAGATCCATTCCTTATGATGATGCTTCTTGTGACCCAGAACCTCGTGATACGTTTAAGTTAGTGCTTGCTTGATCTCTTTTCAATTGTCTCTCATAGTAAATTTTTCTTCTTCTTTGAGATCTTGTAATACTTAGGACCTGTTGCTGATAGTTATCTTGGATTGGTTGAGTTTGTCCAGTTGTTCAATGCTTCTTTAGCTTCGATTTTTTCTTGGCAACTACCAGGTGGTGATCTGAAGCTAAGTCAGCTCCTCTTCAGGCTCTCACGTCTTCCATTGACTTGATTTTTTTACGGACACAAATATGATTTATCTGGCACTCCGTGGTGTAGTCCAGTGAGACACATGTAGCTTTGTGTATGCGTTTTTAGGGAATATTTTGCCGCCTATAACCAATTTTTAATGCATATAGATTTGTAAATCTCTTATCATTCTTCCTCCTTTCCCCAGTCAGTGCATTTCGTCTCATATCTTCATATCCGGTGTTGTCCATTCCGACTTTGGTGCTTAGGTCTCCCACCTGGATAGCCAGGTCGTTTCCTGAGCACTTCGTGATGATCGATTGCAGCCTCTCGTGAAATTAGTCTTTATCGTCGTCGTTGCTATCATTAGTAGGTGCATAACATTGATTGTGATTCCCTGGTTCTTTGTTTTGAATGATGGTTTGATGATTCTGAAGCGATGAGATTCCCATCCACTAAGTGCTCGTTGGGTTTCTTTGGACAGCAATAGAGCAACTCCCTGAATGCGTAGAGCATTTTTTCTTCGTGACCGGAGTACGGTAGCATCTCTCCCGTATCTAACCTTTGTTGTTCAGCTTGGGTCCAATGGGTTTCGCTGATTCCGAGTAATGCCAATTTGTATCTCCTCATTTCCGTGACTATTTGTCTGGTCCTCTCGAATTCCCACATTGTCCGGACATTGCATGTACTTATATTAATTGTTGCTCTGGTTGTTAGAAGAGGCTTCAGCCTCCTGACTTCCGAAGAATTTCGGATTTCACCATGAGGTGCCATAATTTTTGTGGATAAAGATCGTTCAACTCGGAGGACAGAGTTTGAATGGTTTAAACTGTTTCTTATAGTTAACATTTTTAGGAAGGCTGTTTTCTACGGGATGGGTTTGTTGACCCCATGCCAAATCCTCCTCCTTTACCAGGGCTTGGGACCGGAGGTAACTCTAGAAGAGCTACAGGCGAAGTTCAGGAATTGGAAGCAGATACCAAAAGAATGAATGGCAACTGGAAAGGATTGCCCAGGACGGAGTATGATGAAGAACCCTGGTGGTCGGTTTACGCTCCTCCACGAAGGGTAACAGGCGTAAGTAAGCACATCGGTACGCCACAAAGATAACAAATACATAACAATAAATACATAACCACATACATGGCCGATATAATGAAAACAACATAAGTATAGTGATGTCAGCAACCATACTGGTGTACATAAACTCTGTCACAAGAATACCCTGAATTTTCAGACATCTATTAGCTGAAGAATCTTCAATCCACAAGTTGGATTGATCATAAGTATTGTCATACCAAGATCCGAATTCTTATCAAAAACTGTACATTACTTGTTAAGTTAGAATAACACATAAGCAAACGATGTTGTTTTCACTTTGGTCATCATCAGGCTTTGATATGCAATAATCTTTATATCTAAATATAAAAATAGTAGACTGATCAAGGAAGTTTATGAGTCAATAACAAAAATCAAAAGCACTGATAGCAAGATGATAGGTGCACTAGTAGTAATGAATAAACATAACACAAGTTTGAATCAACGTTCTAATATGCCAAGATTTGATAAAAGATACACTAAACAGTATTTATTATGGAAAAATTGATGGGGCGATTATCGACTCGTTTAAAAGCTGTATAGAGAAAGTTCCTCCGTGTATCACTACATGTATTTCTTGAATTTTAAACCCATTCCCTGCAGAAGAAATCTGGCTAGATGTCTTACAGACAGAGCAAAAATATATCCTCAGATGATAACATAAAGAAGAATTCAGAGTTTATTTGCAACTTGTTGACCTAATCAAGCTACTCGTAGAGTTTTTAAAAAGCACATGTACACAATGAAAACAGAATCAATGATATAAGCCATTCGCTAGGAACTGCTTTTTTCAAAATTACAATTCAACAAGGATGTAGCTACCTACGTTTTATATGCCTTCTAATGCCATGGTACGGAAGAACGTGAGAAGAGACCGCTCTCCCTATCAAACGCGTCGACAACTTCACTTATCTTGTAAGTCTCATCAGCCCTAATGGGTCGGGGTCTGACGAATCTCAGCACGGATTCGAAAAGCTCGTTTGGCTTTCGCCAACTTACGTCACCTATGGCGAAGGCGAGATATCCATCTATCAATTAAGGGATGAATATAATGAGCGGCAGTTCATTCTGTTTTAATTTACGGCCACGAAACATGGCCATTAAGAGCAGAAGATCAGTCAGTCAGTCAGTAACTACAAGAAACTTCGTACGTACGTACATCAGTTCGAGTTGCCATACCACAATAGCACAGAGATTCAGTTATCGATTAAAATCCCGTAGTGGTAGAGGTAGTGATAGGGAACATTAGGGTTTGATGATGTTATTTAAGGAGTGGATCTGTTGCCTGGAGAAAGACATCTCGACCTTGAGTATGCGGATGATAGTTTTACTGTACGAGAATGCCCAAGCTATGCAATCCGCACTTAATCAGTTGGCAATCAATGTCCGTAGGTATGGTATGTACTTTGTACCTTCGAAGTGCAAAGTTCTTCTACAAGA